GTCGTCGTTATCGTCGTCGTCGTCGCCGCAGATACAACGACCGATCGCGCGTCCTCACGTAAATTGGAGCCTCCGTCCAGCCGCTAGTTACGAATATGACAAATGACTCGAGCGTGTCTCTACGCTACATCGAGCCTGTCCTAAATGTATTTTCTACGCGTGTCGCGCCGCCCACATTACGTACACGTACTGGTCGGTGGAGGGTCCCTTTCGACACCGTCCATGTCGATGCAGCAGTTTCAAGTCCCCTCGGTGAGTTACCTTTACGCGCGTTAGGACCTATCATTATTATTGGGGACGTGTGGGCGCGTTTAATACACAATCAAATTGAGTAGTCCCCGAGTAGAATCGACCGTTCCCGTCGCGCTTATGTAAATTTTCATCATTCGTATACCGCGCCCTCTGTGTACACGCCTCGGGGATACAGATTAAAAGCCCGTTCTATTATTTCACCAGCGCGTTCTCTCGCTCTCCGCCTCCTCTCCAGCTCTCGTTTTCTCCCGTCCTCTCTCTCTCTCTCTCTCTCTCTCTCTCTCTCTCTCTCTCTCTCTGTCTGTCTGTCTGTCTCTCTCTCTCTCTCTCTCTCTCTCTCTCTCTCTCTCTCTCTCTCTCTCTTTCGCTTTGACGTCTCGTACGCGTGATTTCCTTCTTTATGAAGTCAATGTATCGGAGTCGCCGGTCATCCATTATACTAATGAGCAGCAATCACGTAATACGAGGCTGGCGTTAAATCGTTTGAAAGATTACCCTGTCTCGCGCGAGAAAGTAGCCCCGGGCGTTATTCTTGTTTCTGCAATAATTTTCTAGGACCGAGAGCGCCCAGAGCGGACCGTTACGCTAATGTTCGCTTTATCGTCTGACTAATAGTACAAAAGGGGAAAAGAGGAGAAAAGAAATAACATACATACCGCGCTCGGATAGCGGCCGTTTAGCCGGTTAATCGTACGTCTTAAATCTTGAATGGATTCGTTATTCGAGGCGCGCGGACTGTTGCGGCGAGCCTATTCCATTGAGGCGCGAAATCGAGCGTGTGTGCTCACGAGCCCGGCGCGGGCTCGTTCCCGAACATATTGGGCCGCGACACAACGATATCTAGAAGCAGCCTTTTCTTCCGCGGGAATTCCATCGGGCTCCGATACGTTGATATTCAATTACGGAATTTCTAAATTAATGGAAATCCCTCCGTTATTGCTGATATTGTTTCATCGGAACTCGCGCAGTTCATTACAATGTGTCTTACTGCGCAATTGCAATTTCGCATTATACCCGGCGCATGAATCATTTATTATCACCGCATAATATGTTATTGGCTGCAATTTACTCGGGCTATTTCTCGCGTTTGGTACAGGTGCGCGGCAGATATATGGCCTTTCGGAATCTCTCATCGTCCGGTAACGTATTGGCGGCTATCAGTTGAGAAAAAATAGCTGCGTAGTACGCTCCGCCGCTGAAATAACGCTGTATTTCATTTCCCGATGGCGAGCGGAGCCGCGAAGAAGAAAGAGCAAAAAAGAGAGAAAGAGAGAGAGAGAGAGAGAGAGAGAGAAAGGGTGCGTGCGAGCGAGGGATGGACAGGGAGGCAGCAGAGGGAGGAAGGGTGGCGAGAGCGGGAAGAAAAAATAAAATCCGTTAAATTTACGTCGCCAATAAAAAGGAAAATAAACGTGGCATCCTGTGCGCGTGTTCACCCAAGGCGATCATCTTCGAGATTCAAGGCCCTCCTCCCGCGCATTCGTGGAAACCGAAAGATTACTTATTTATGGTTTCTCCACTCGGCAAAGGAGGAGGTAGAGCGCGCGTAGATACGTTTGATGTTGCCTCCGATCGCCTAGTTAAAGAGAGTGGCCGCCGTTGATGGATTCGTTTTCCACGTAGGACGGTTATTTATGAGTCCCGCGCGCGACTCCCCGCGTCGATCTGTACCGGGAACGACGTGGGCGTTTAGGATTCATCATGACCATGAATACGCGTCACGACGCGAGCGTCCGTTCGACCGAGGCGACGCGACAAGAAAGCATCAACGGCGCGCATCACGAGGGCGACTGTCGTTATGTATGCGCGAAAATAAGAACTGCGAGGACCGCGGTGTTGCTCGTAATGATAACGCTCGTAAAAAGAAGCGAGAGGAACGACAGAGACGAACGCGAGAGAGAGAGAGGGGGGGGAAAGAGAGAGAGAGAGAGAGAGAGAGCGGAAGGAGGAGAGGAGGAAATCGCGCGTTGATGGATTCGTCGGCGCGGTTTTCGCCGGAGAGGGACATTATGCGAATTTAACGAGGCCGCGCATCGACTGATAGCGGGGGAAACGCGCGGGGATTATCTTTACGGGACGGTCGTACGTGTGTATTCGTGCGGGTTGCAACAGTATTGCGCGAACTTTAATGTAGCAGCCGGCCACGGTTATCCGCGGCGCCGGGCAATTTCCGCCAGGTCCACCAATTAGCCGGTAATAATTTCCCCGCCGGCGCGCTCGTGACGCTCGCGGCCGCGTCGGTAGCTTCGCGCGCGCGCGCGCGCGATGCAAATTTTTATCGTCAACAACGTGTACACGCGAGTTGGTCCGGGACCTCGCGCGCGCGCGCGTTTCATTCTCTGTCGAGCGAGTCGGCTCCAAGTGCTTTGACACGGTGACAATACCGTCGATCGCCGGCGGCGCCGTCGCCGTCGCCGTCGTCCTCGACTATATTTTCTCTAAGTGCTAGTGGAGAGCGCAATAAACTGTACAACGGGACTGTGACGGCTTTAGCGTCGGAGATGCCATTCGCGCTAATACACTCGTGTTTGTGTCGTTGGCCACGACGACAAGCAAGGAAGGAAGGAAGGAAGGAAGGAACGACCCAACTCCGCGCGCTCCTCCGTGTCCTCCATTTTGCCCGGTGCCCCTCGGTCTCGGCAATCCACCCTCTCCTCGCGCTTCTCTCTTTCTGCCACTACCTCTCTCTCTCTCTTGCGCGCGCCCTCGAACTCGCGGAAAATGTATGATACACCCAGCCGTGGAGTTAAACCGCTATTTTTCTTGTGATAAATGAAATTGTTTCGCGCGCGAGGCGCGGCGCTTGTCACGCTCGCGGACGTTCTTCGAGTTTGCACGGAGCTTCCCCGAGTTTCCTCCCGGAAGCGCTTCGGGAACTTCTCCGGGGATTAAATGGGATCGGAAGAATGTGGCCCCGCTTCTCGCCGAGCGTGGCTTCGCGTCCCGCGGCGTTACGAAAGCATCTTGATTGCGCCACCGAATGCAATCGCGCGCGCGCGCGCGCGTCTATAACCGCCGCGCGGTTGAACGCGCGTGAGACGCGTTGCTTGTCAAACGTGTGCAACTGCAACTACGTATAATATAATCAGCGCGAGCGAGCCGTAGCGAGAGTAGCTTTCCGCTTTAAATTGTATTTCTTGTTCTCGGATACAATCTTCGAGAACGATACATTAGTGCGTGTAAATTGTGAGAATATATAGTATATACACGGAGAAAAATATCAGAAATATCCGATTGTTAATTTTCTTATCCGATCGAATATCCGATTAAATATATACCGGATATTTCGGATCGAATAACGAAATTAACAATCGGATATTTCGGATATTTTTCTCAGTGTATATATATATATATATATATATATATATCTTTTTATTTTTTGTCATTCTTTTCTTTTTTAGCATAAGTTACAGCTGGAAAGAGGCATTCGCACCTGTTATTTCTATAGTTCGCCGGACTTGTTAACAAAGTTATTAGTAGTCGAGTCGTACTCGCCGAGTTAACGATAGTCAAAGTTGCCGTTTCCGGGCGGGAGGGGGTGAAGCGGGGGGGGGGGAAGTGTAAAGAAGAAAAGAGCAAGTACGCGGCCGGCGCGGCGTGTGTGTGTGTGTGTGTTTGCTTATCGCGTTTCTCATATCGAGTCGCCTGTCTGCCCGCGCGGAAAGTCTGTCGGCGTTCTAATTTCGGATTCAGAGCGCTCGGCGCGACCGGACCGGTCGGTATATCCCTTCGGCAAACACTCGGCACGTACGCGCAATATCTTCGCGGATTTCGACGCGCTAGGGACACTGGCTGCGCGCGTTTGTGCGCGCACCTCTGAGCGCGCGTCACTCCGGCCGTTTTGGCGTTTCTTGCCGGGGAGAGAAATATCGGCGTGCTTTATAGCCCGGGCACGGAAATTCGTGGACTGCGGAATTGGCCGATCTTGTCGCGATCGGACGTCGGGCGACGAAATAGTAGCGCAGTGATCGATGGGATCCCTGGGAGCGATCGCTCCCGCGGCACGACGCCTCGCGAAGTGATCAGGAAGTCTGATGATACGGCGGAAAACGCGTCGTCGCGGAAAGATAACGCGCCGACGTCATGACCACGCCGTGACGGGGCAGAGTGACGAAGGGAGCGGTGCGCGCGGGAGTGATTATCGAGTGAGCCGGGGGAGCTCATTAAAAGGCGATAAATCCATCTACATGTAAATCTAATCGGGCAGACGGAACCGCGAGACGACATCGAATCACCGTTAACCGCCGTGCGCCTTCCGTCGCGGCCGAGGATGGAGACTCTTGAGCTCTCGAGCAGGAGTTCGCCTTTAAACGTCAGCGTGTACATCACCGCCGCTAAATTCTCATCTAATAAGACGTAATCCCGGTGTTTTCGTGCCTGCTAAAACCGCCTCACACCGGCCTTTTACTTCACCGCGGTAATGTGTCGCGTATATAAGTGCTTTTATTGAGAGATCGATGCGCTTGATTACAGCCCATCATTCAAGATTGACCGACCTGATACTCTGTCTTTATCTACTTCGCAAACGGGAAATGTATCGAGACTCGTAACGTTATCGACAAGTCAAATGTGATTTGCGTTGAAATTGCATGCTCGCGGTCTAACGGTGCAACCCGTTTGTTGCCTTTAACTTTACGGCAGCTTCCCTGAAGGGGTTCGCGGTCATTGATTTCAAACGTATGTGATGCAACTCGGAGAAGCGAATTTCTTCTCTTATTCACTTGGTCCATCCTTTCTTCTCGTTGCAGTACCGATCGTTACTATCAACGGTGTGGTCGGAAACAAGGCGCAGCTTCCTTGCGATATTCATCCCCCCTTGCAAGATGAGGTCACCATGGTGCTTTGGTACAAGGAAGGCGGGATTGAGCCGATTTACAGGTGAGTGAGACAAAAATTGCAAGTTACAAATTTCTTCAAAGCTCTCGCTACAACATACATTATGTATGTATAATATATTCCCCGCACCCCCCGATGTACACGAGCGCGCATAGATCTCTTCTCTGCTCACGTTACAAATCTGCAATGTGCTGAAAGAAAGTGCAGTCGAGGGGAGATACGCGAAAGATCGCCCATATCGTTCATAAAGCGCGCCTTCCCAAAGAAATCCAATAGGAATGAGTCGGAGGACGCTCAGGTCCGGAAATTCCTCGCGTTATTTTCCACGGAGTGAGGTTCATTCGCTCGGGTCGCCGTCTCGCTTCCGCGGCCCGTGAAATTTTGCATATAGAATGGCGGCGGCCGGCGCATCGTCCGCGGGGGGGGGGGAGGGTGCGGAACGGGGAGGGCGGCGCGGAGAAAGTCTCGTCGACGTTAGTATCCGGCGGGTCATATTTAAGAAATGTAATAAGGTGTAAGATATATGCGGGAGGAGGAGAGGGGCGAGGGGAGAGGCGAGTGGCGATGCATCGTTCCAGGGAAAGGGCGGAGGGGCTTCTGCGAGAGGGCAAAGGAGCTGGCACTCGGTGGCGGCGCGGGGTTGTCGCTTGTTGTAAAGTCAGTTTAATCCTCGCCACGACGAGGAACTTTAAATTTAAAGGCGGCCGCCGTACTAAAGCGTCTCACCTCTTCCCCCCCCCTCCCTCCCTCCCTTCCTTTCTCGCCCTCCGAGTCGCGGCGGAATCGTTCTCGCGCACCCCGGCATCGTCGTCTCTTCCCTCCGCGCGCGCGGGATCTCTCGCAGTAAAATATTTATTGCGTGACATCGTGCTCGCTTATCGTACGAACGCCAGACAGTTAAGGAAAGGAAACTGCGGGACTACGCGACTATGATCGCTCATAGTCCTTCTCCGGGATCTCTCCTGCCTTCTTTATATATTCAGTGTCTTGTTCACGCGATAGGGGTAAAACTCACGTGCGATACGTACACGTCGTGTATACGTCGTGCCGTCAAGATTCTCCCGAGTTGTCGCTCGTTCGGTAAGAAGCACGACCAACCACCGTTGTCCCGCAAATACCCGGATTTGTCTCACGACCGTTCCCTCAGTCAATCATATTAATATCACGAGGTCACGATTATTCAGGAAGAGAATTTTTCCGCTCGACGCGATATCGTACGTTCGGGGCTTATATAGATTTTCGATTAAGCTCAACGATCGTCTCTGTTCACCGCGATATGGATATTTGATCGCGATTACCCCCACACTTACTTAGACTCACACTTACACTTATACACACACACTAGCCCGTCCGAGTTTCAACAGCACTCGATAATATCGAGCCGGCGTACACGGCGCGGGCCAATCGCGAGAAACTCTGGATAATATTTACAAGCTCTTCGTTGCGGCCGGCGCCCCCTGCGCATTTTACTTTAATAGATAACACTTCGCAAAATCGAATCTACTCAATTCCATTCTACGTTCTCCCGTGGAAAGTTTCAAGACACTTAGACCCGCCGAGGCAACCGAGGTAAATTTCTTCCCTCGCGTGAGACTTTTAAAGCGATCGGTTTCTTAGCCAGCGGCTCGCCGCGCCGCGCCGCGCCGCGCCGGCTGCAGTAGAAAATAGCAGCTAAACAGAAGACAGCGGAAGACAGCGAGCGCTCGAGTCGGAGACGTCAGGTGTTGCCTGAGAAACACCTCGCCAACGAGTCGTCGAAAGTTTGCGTCGTTTTTTCTCTCGCAACAATTAATTCCGTGTCTTCATTCGGTATCGCACATCGTATTCCTCGATTCAACACGCGAGAACGCGTGCCCGGCCACAAAACGTTCCCGCTCACGCTTCACCGGACGATAATTGAGACGACGTTCGTCTACCGTGCTTTCGCGCGCTTCGATATAACTCGCGCGCTACCTCGCACTTCCGGATCATTTCCTCTCGCGCGACTGTAAAAGGCCAAAACACACACACACACACACACACACAGGCTTATCCGCGCGACAATCTCCCAAGATAACGAAGAAACGCCGCTGCAGGCGACACTTTTCCGGAAAGTCCCGACGAATCAGCCTCTCAAGTCGTGATCGACGAGTCGGGAGGATAGACGATAGATCGATCTTGAGAGTCGCGCTGCGTCGATGAACGTCGGGGGGTCTCGAAGTCGGCGGAAGACCGATATGAGAAAATCGCTTTTCAGGGTTATCGCTCGCGAGGAAAGTCGGTCGAACGTGTTATATCCGCGGCTCGTTCGTGCCGGGGCGACGGGGTCGGGTACGTGTACTCGACTACTTCGAGGGCTACCCTCCCTATCCGCTGGCCTGTCGGCGAGGACGAGACGGCGGCGGGGGACGGGGGGCGGGGGGCGGAGGGCATCGGAGGCGCGTCACGGAAGCGCCCTGTTCGTCCGTTGGAGAGAGAGAAGTGCGAAGTGGAAGAATTAAATCGTATTTCAACGTCAATGCCGCGGAAGCAAGCGTGAGGGCCGGGATAGCTTTGGGAATACTCAGTCACGAGCGAAAATCCAAACTCCCGTGCAGTCGCGGAACGCAATTTAACTTTTAGTCGCTCGCGAGGAGCCCGAGCGAGCTCCACGCTCGCTCTCCCTCGAGTTACCCTCTCTTCTTTCTGTCCCGCGTGGGCCCTCTTATATCCCCCTTCCCCCTGGCACGTTGCGGCCGTCTCTGTCTAATCCGTCTCCCTTTGTGTCTCCATCCTTGCACGCCACGGATGCTTAATATGCAATCACGCACTGAGGATGGCTCCCCAGGTGACTCCCCGCCGTACGTAGACACGTCCCGTCCGCCCGGCGCGGCGCGGCGCGGCGCGGCGCAGCGCGACGGCGCGAGAGAGCGAATCGTAATTCGCGCGATTCCTCGTCCGAAAAATCGCGCGACAGAAGAATACGCGTGTACGCCAACTGCGCGGAAGTTGAGGATGGATCTGGCGTCTGAGATTTAACTCTCCTCGGTCGCTGGGTCCACGACGCGTGCTTCTTCCTTCTCCCCTCAAAACTCCCGGTCGCGCTGTCGCGATCGAACGGGAGAGAACGGGATTCGGCGGGATTTTGCGCGCGATTTCGCACGCCGCAAACATGTCGAATGTGACGTAAGATATCACGAAATTGCTCGCAAGCGCGACGACCGCAATTTGATTAATACGATTCCGCGGAGGGTCCGTACAAATCCGTAACCGACGAGAGAAATTCCGAAACGATATTGCACGCCCGTTCGCGCAAGTAGCCGGGAATACACATTCATCATTTATGCAACTGTAATTAATGCAATTACGACAAGCTTTCAATAACGACGTCACGGTGTGCTATTTTAATTGGCATGCTGCAATTACATCGTAAATTATGGACTGATTAAACTGGCATAGTTTTTGGTATGTGAATAACGAGCAAAGTGCTAATTACCCGCGACAAATTGACTCTTATCGCGGGCTGCGTATTCTATCGGCGTCGTTTCAGCATGCCGCCGCGTCTATTACGCGAGAGAGGGAGAAAGAGAGAGAGAGAAGGGGGGGGAGAGAGAGAGAGAGAGAGAGAGAGAAAGAGAGAGACGTTGCGACTCTGTGCACATTACATCAAGCGTCGATGATGATTTCAACGATATAGTATTAATTAATTGTATCGCGTTCCGCGCGTAACGCGCGAGAAAGAACGACGCGACGCGACTGAGCTAAGGAATCAATCGATTGTTGCAGCTTTGACGTCCGCGGCCGCCGGCAGTTCAACAACGCCCATCTCTGGTCGTCGCCCAAGGCATTGGGACCAAGAGCTTTTTTTATCACGGCGACGAATCCAGCGCACCTCAGCATCGATCGGCTGGAGAGCAAGGACGAGGGGATCTATCGGTGCCGGGTGGACTTTAGAAACTCGCCGACGCGGAAACAAAAGATGAACTTAACCGTTATAGGTGAGCGCATTGTTCCTCTTGCCTCCCTCACCCCTCGGCCCATCCCGCCAAACGATCGGACTCGATCGGAATCGAACGATCGCGCGACAATTACACTCGGTTCCTTTTGTCAACCAGGTGTGATAATGTATCTGGTCGCGTCGAGTATCGAGCGACAAGCGCCTTCGATCTCGCCCTCGTCACGTGTGTGTGTGTGTATGTATGTGCGCATCGCACCCCTACGTGCGTTCGCGCACCCTCGAGTACGCTCTCGCGACGCGTGTACTTAACGCGAAACGCCGGTCGATTCGCGCGCCTACGCGCGAGCTCTCCTCGCCGTTGTCGCGCCATCGTCGTCGTCAGCAACACCTCCATCAGCACAGCAACAGCAGCAGCAGCAGCAACACCACCACTACTCGACGGTCATCGATACATTTGCTCTCGATACATTTCGTGAGCGTTGACTTATGAACTCTCGGCACTTGCCGGCGCATAAATTAATCTCGGCATAAGCCGAGGTTTGCTTCGCAAATTGAGCTGCTACCGCGGTTATCTATACCTTCCTAACTAGGACCTGTGTGTTTTGGGACCATTATAACAGTTAATTCCGCTGCAACGTATCAAGTTAACCTTCTACCCCCCCGCCCGGCCCTTGCGCTCGCATTTCACCGCACCGTCCGCGTATACACATTTTCCTACGCGCGCGCGCGTGCGAACATCGACAATTGTCTGTCTGTCTGTCTGTCTGTCTGTCTGTCTATCTGTCTGTCTGTCGTTCATTTGTTCGTTCGCTTGACAAACGATCGATTAACATCCGCGCTGTTCTAACGACGTATGCTGTTCGCAGTGCCTCCGTCGAAACCGATAATATTGGATGGAGAGACGAGGAACATTTGGAGCATCGAGAAGCCGTACAACGAGGGGAGCGACGTGAACCTGATTTGCGAGGTTCGAGGTGGCAAGCCGCCCCCGAGGCTGACGTGGTACCTCGACAACAACGTGATAGACGAGTCCTATCACTACAACGCCGAGACCGGGGTAACGGTTAACCACTTGGCGTATCCTAAAATTGGGCGACAGCATCACAAGGCGAGGCTCATCTGCCAGGCGGGCAACACGAATCTGGTGCCGCCGCAAACCAAACTGCTCATCCTCGATGTGAATCGTAAGTCATCGACGATCCCTTTCGCCTCTCTTCGTCCTTTTAGCGACGCTTGACCTCCACACACAAGGTCCGCGCTGCTGTCGCGCGGATATGATCGCGGACTTGTTCGCCGTCGACCTCGATTTCGCGAACGCGCTCGAAGGAGAACATTTAACGTCGCGCGCTCGTGACGTCGTCGTCGCGACTGTAATTTGCGACGTTATACGACGACACGCGGCATTCACGCTCCTCGTAATGACACGCAGTTAGCCGGATGACTCCCGGTGCGCCGCGCGAAAATAGGTCTTCGGGCGAATTCTTAGTGCCGCGACGCGCCCCCGGTGCGCCATATTCGCCCGACCCGTTACCAAGTCAACGGCGGTGCGCGCGTTCCCGTAAATAGTGCATCGCGTTAAGTGGTGTTTTTTGCGGACGTTTTGTCGGTAAACAAGGGTGGAAAAGTTTCGCCGGTATTGTTACGTGTCTTTCATAGGCGAGAATTAGCGCTGACTCAGCAGGTTCGCAGTTTCGCGCGCGCGCGCGCGAGGGGTGTTCGAAACGAGCCCCCGATTAGCGCGATATACATATCGATCGGTGATCGTGAAAAAATGCCCCACTTACGCGGCCCGGTTTGTCAATCTTCGCGAAATTGCATGTTCGCGCAGTGCGGGGTTTCTTTTCGTCGCGCTTTTAGGGTGATTGCATAATTGAGAATCGCGCAGACTGTCGGGAGACGCCACGTGCTAGATGCTCGGAAAATCCAGACGCGAGACTCGTCGAGTTTTCGCCCACGAGTGCGAGTTGATATCGCGGAACTTTGAGAGCAAAACGCAATTGTACATATAAATAAGCGGTAAGCATCGCTGCGCCCTGTGCATTCCATTATTATTTCCGACGGTTATCTCGCAAGACAAAGTGCTGTTTACGTTTTCATACTTTGCATTATACATATACATATACATATACATATACATATATATATATATATATATATACATACATACATGCACAACTCAGTCGTTAAGCATAAACGCGCCCAACGGATGTAAAGTGCCGCGCATACGTAGTTTCGTGTAACCATTAATGTAAGTACGCAATTATTGCGTGCATAACGAGGTACGAGAGTTCTCCATTTGCGCATTGGGGTATACGTGAAACACGACCAGCAAGTTGATACGTTCTACGGGGGAAAAACGCGTTTAGCGCGTTCCACGTATTTTCCTATCTAAGAATATCAGCGAGTCGCCGATACCCGACTCGTTATTATTGGCTAACACGACGGCGCCAATCGCCGAATAAGAAAGCTCAGTCGCAATTATCATATGTACGAGATTCGTTCGTTCGAAATGCCGGCTCGGCATTTTCAGCAAGTTTTCGTTCTATCGGAGCGCGGATCGACGGGACGCGACGCGACGTTACGTAAGAAAACAGCATACCACGACCGCGACGGGGAGAGCGGTGCTAACAGGTCGATATTCTTCTTTGCTCCGCGGCCAGTTTTAAGCTACTCTCTCTCTCTCTCTCTCTCTCCCCCTTCCTGCTTCCCTCTACCTCTCGCTTTCTCGTGCACCGTGCTGGCGAATCGCATCAACGGTCACAGAGAGACATGCACCGAAGGCCTTTTCACGTGGTCCTAGCCGGGCCAGGGTATTCACGTGCTGAACCTATTAGTCGACCAGCCGAGATTGGCCGATGGAGATAACGGTAACGCCTCTCGCAAGACGGATCAGTGAATCGCGTGCCTTCTAGCCCGCAGCTTCGATTCCGTGTTTCCCCGTGAGCACTTGGCGTGCGACAGCGCGTCCGTGTTTGAACGTTGTTGCCGGTATCGGTCGATACATGTGACGAGAAACGCTCGCGGGTATATATATATATATATATACGCGTATGCGTGTACACGTGTGTTATTAAAGCCCGTGTACGCGTAGGGGCGAGTGCACGTGCGGACGTAAGAAGGTGTATCGTGTAAGCGGTGGCTGGTGCAGAGGGTTTCGCTTGTAATGACCCAGTAACGTCGTTCTCCGGGCAGAAAGCCGCACGCGCGCGTCCGCGCGCGAAAGAGGGCAAGAAGGGTGGCGAGAAACTATTCGAACTCGGCGATAACGTTAATGTAAACACGCGTAAAAGCACTAGTACTCGACCGAGAGCCGTAAAGAGGCGTTCATTCATGGCCGACTCTCATCTACACCGATCGCATCTCGCGTCGACGACGCTTGACGCACGCGTGGGTGACGGATGCCTGCGTGCATTTGTCGACGCTCTGTGCGTAGGGGGTGTCTATTTGCCTACCTACCTACCTACCTACTTGCTTACTTGCCTACCTGGCCTACGCGCGGATTAAGTGCGCGACTCACGACACGAATGTCGCACGCCAACTCTGCTTAATAGTACAGCTAATGGCAGTATCGAAAATCATATCAAATAGGGACGCCGGCTGCGCTCTGCGTGCGCCGATCTTATTAGAAATTAATCCTTCGTTAGCTAGCGAGCAAAATGTAAGCAGCTACACGTGCTTTTCAAGGAGATCAAATGTCTCGCGGAAATCGATTCTCTTCACGCGACAGCGCAAGAGTAGTTTCGAGTTTTGCTAAGTAACCGAAATTATTTTAGTATTTCGGTGGTACATTGCTCGATAGTTGGTCTTGTATTCGTGCATATAAATCGCCATTTCCTCTGATTTCGAGACACGCGGAACGTGATATCGTTCTTATAAAATATGAACGTGCATGCTGTACAACTACTGCTACGTTATTCGTTGGAAATCAACGCGATTTACGACTGCGCATGCGCTATATATAATATTCCACTTTGTGGGTGTTGAATTTCAACACTCACCATTTGAACTCCACCGATGTCCATAGCCAGGTCCGCCGTTGAAACCGACTGCGTCCATCCCCCTCCCTCCCTCCCCATCCCGGGCCGCTACGCTCGGCAACTGGAATTTTGTAGCGTCCAGTCTTCGTCGTTCCGCGTAGTCCACGTTGATTGCACTTCACTTCACTATATTTCACTCGCGACGCGACTAACATTTGCATTACAACGATCTATTTCGAAACGGAATTTGCGAGTTGTTTTAACGAAAATCAAAAAATTTGGATTTTCAGAATACGTTACACGAGGAGATGCATCGCGACCCGATTAATATGAGGAAATCAGAAAGATACTTTCGAGCCGTGAATCCTGCTTATCGTTTCTCAGAAACAGGTTTTTCATTTCTTGCTTCTTGCGAATTTGTGAATTTTATAATATAACTGCAATATACTCGTGACACGAATAACGTGTAAAAATATTGATATTGAACACCGCGAACTCTGCGAAATCCGTGAACAAAATGATGGTGAATGGCGACATGAATATATTTATATATTTATATAATAATATATTTATATATAAAAAAAATTTACGGATATAAAATGAATCACGTTGATTACGAAATTTGTCAACGCGACCAAAGTAATCGCGAATTTTGCACATGGCCCAATTTTACCGCGCATTACATACTGCTCAAAATTATTAGGAGATCCCATTGAATAAATAAACAGCCTTGTACTGATTGTATAATTTGGACTGAATATAAGTGATAAAAAATAAACAGCAAAAATATCAGGTCGATATTTTATTTTCGTTAACTATTGAAATTAGATATTGACGAAAAAATATCTGTCATTTGAGATACGTAGTGATGAAAAGTGATAGAGAAATTTGAAGAAGTGATCCCACAATTATTTCAAATATATTTTGTTTCGGCAGCATATATACACGTAGAAATCTATAGGTAAAATAAATCACGTCGATTCCAACGATATTTTCTAAACAATCGCTGTCTACGAACCTACTTCAAAAATCTATAAAATTCGTTCTTCTTACTCACCGAATATTCCGGAACTCAGAGTCGGCCGCATTCCGCTACTCGAATATCTGAAACGAAAAAGGATATAAGTTCATCGATTAAAAATTCAACTTAAAACGCACGAAGGTAAATATATAGAAAAGGTTACACCTCACCGATTTTTTTCATTTTGAAATATGTTATAAAGGATGAAATTCTGAGTGACTTTTCCTAATACAATTATATGGGGGTCGCTTATAGTTTCTGAGATATTTGACTTTAACGTTTTATAATTGTACGTTGAAGTATTATATATTTGAAGTAGACAAGTATATTTGAAGTAACACTTTTCATTTACTTTAAATATAGGAAACAGTATATATAAGCGGGGTACACATAAGCAGGGCTTCGCCCCTCCCCCCGCTACCTTCCCAAACAAATCCTAACCTAACCTAACTTATTGCATCTTTATATATTTTTGGATATTGTTGAAAAATGTTATCTTATAAGATCTATCACCTGGCTCAACTTAACTTATTAACTTATATATATATTATATAACTTATTATTATAATATCTGCATATAATTAGGTGTTGTGGCTTTTAAAGAGATCTTTTCAATATCGTCCAACAATATATAAAGATGCAATAAGTTAGATCAGGTTAGGAAGGTTATTTTTGGGGAAGGGGTGCGGGGGAGGGGGGCGGAGCCCCTCTCCCGCTTGTATGTACTGTTTCCTATATTTCTATGTATACACTATGTTTGGATTAACTGTTTGGATCATACTGTAAATAACGTCAGCTCATGATATCTGAAATTTAATTCCAGGATAATCAAAATTCCAAAACTTTAAAATCAAATATCTCGGAAACTATAAGCGATCCCAATATAGTTGTATCAGGGAGTCACTCAGAATTTCATCCTTTAAAATATATTTCAAAATGAAAAAACCGGTGAGGTGTACCCTTTTCTATATATTTACCTCTACTTCAAATATACTTCAATCTACAATTATAAAACTTTAAAGTCAAATATCTCAGAAACTACAGTATAAGCGACCCCCGTATAATTGTATTAGGAAAAGTCACTCAGAATTTCATCCTTTATAACATATTTCAAAATGAAAAAGAGCAGTGAGGTGTACCCTTTTCTATATATTTACCCGCACGAGTATGCGTAGAGATACGAATT